GAGACAGAGGTAGACAGAAACAGATAGACAGATAGACAGAGGAAGACAGAGATATAGACAGAGATAAAGATTGACAGACCCTAAACTTGGGGTTAACATCGCTTTCCTCTTAAAAGAGGAGTGTTAATATGACATTACATCAGTGAATCCTTGGTGTTTGCCGCACTGTTTGCTCTAGCTGGCGCTCAATTTAACTGGCGCTCCCACAAGTTACTAAGTGGTCCCAGATTTTTTAATACCGTGCACACTGAGTGTTAGGACCCATTCTATGCTGACAAGGCATCTCAGGCCAATCGTGCCAAATTTGAAGGCAGGAAAAATAAAACGTATATATATGTTTGGGGCGCTACACGTAAGAACGTATATATACGTTTGAACCATTTAAGGGTTAACAAGTTGGCCGTCTCCCACCAAGGCAGGGTGACCCACAAAGACAGAAAATCCCCAAAAAGAAAATATTTATCCTCATTTAACACTTTCACCTCACTCATACATAATCACTGTTTTTGCAGAGGTGCTCAGAACACAACACTTCAGAAGTATATACGTATACAGGTACACAGCATATCCTTCCAAACTGCCAATATCCCAAGCCCCTCCTTTAAAGTGCAGGCACTGTACTTCCCATTTCCAGTACTCAAATCCGGCTATAAAAAAATAACTTCTTTCCCTGAATCCCTTCACTAAATATTACCCTGCTCACACTCCAACAGCTCGTCAGGTCCCAAATACCATTCATCTCGATTCACTCCTATCGAACATGCTCACACATGCTTGCTGGAAGTCCAAGTCCCTCGCCCACAAAACCTCCTTTACCCCCTCCCTGCAACCTTTTCGAGGACGACCCATACCCTTCCTTCCTTCCCCCTACAGATGATTTATATGCTCTACATGTCATTCTACTTTGATCCATTCTCTCTAAATGACCAAACCACCTCAACAACCCCTTTTCAGCCCTCTGACTAATACTTTTATTAACTCCACACCTTCTCCTAATTTCCACACTGAATTCTCTGCATAATATTTACACCACACATTGCCCTTAGACAGGATATCACCGCCTCCTCGCTGCAGCATTTACAACCCAAACTTCACAACCATATAATTCAATTCAATTCAAGTTTACAGTATTCTCTATAAGGGTTACAATGTGGGGTTTACAGGTTTTGGGTATTGTGTAGTTTACATGTTATAAAATACTAATTACAGAGGGGGCCACTAGGACACCTAGCATGGCTAGGCATTTTGGGCAGACTTAGATTAATTCTTAACATTAAATCCTTACAGATTATGGTATTAACGCTAAGTGACTATATCATAATTTGTGAGTTTAGCAATGTGAATGCTTTTGTTTTGGCACAATACAAAGTGTCTATATTGGAGTATCATAGGCAAGCTTATGACTAGTTAGGATTTATTATTTTAAGATTAAGATTAGTATTTCTGGGTTTATAGTCTGTGGGTGAATGAAATTGTGAATCACCAGGTGGTTATCATGTAGTTAGTTGTCGGGGTGTATCAGGGAAATAAGATGTTTTCTAACTGTAGTTTTGAAAGTGATGAATGTGTCTGCAGTTCTAGAGTTTTCAGGTAGGGTGTTCCAGATTTTAGGTCCTTTGAAATACATTAAATTTTTGTAAAGGTTTAGTCGAACACGGGGAATGTCATAGAGATGTTTGTGTCTGGTGTTATGCCTGTGGATCCTGTCACAACTATCAAGAAAGCATTTTAGGTCAAGGTTAATATTGGAATTTAAGGTCCTGTAGATATAGGCTGCACAGTAGTAAGTGTGGATGTTCTGAACAGGGAGTAAGTTTAGATCTATGAAGAGTGGGGGGGGGGGTGTTGCCAGGGATGGGATTTAGTGATTATTCTTACTGCAGCTTTTTGTTGGGTTATTATTGGCTTTAGGTGTGTTGCTGCAGTTGAACCCCAAGCACAGATAGCATAGGTGAGGTATGGATATATAAGTGAATGGTATAGTGTGAGAAGGGCAGTTTGTGGCACGTAGTATCATATCTTGGAGAGGATCTCCACCGTTTTGGATACTTTTTTTTGTTATGTGTTGGATATGGGTGCTGAAATTTAGGTTGTTGTCAAGGTATAGGCCAAGGAATTTGCCCTCATTATGTCTGGCAATTAGAGTGTTGTCGATCTTAATGTGAAGTTGCGCAACACCTGCTCTGCTACCAAACATAATATAGTAGGTTTTGCCAGTGTTAAGTGTAAGTTTATTGGCTGTCATCCAAGTCGATATTTTGAGCAGCTCCTCGTTAACAATGGTGTTGAGGGTGGCAAGATTAGGGAGATGACATAAGTCGTGTCGTCAGCAAAAAGAATGGGTTTCAGGTGTTCGGATATGTTTGGAAGTTCATTGATGTAAATGAGGAAGAGCAGGGGTCCAAGGACACTTCCCTGCGGAACTCCAGTATCAAGTGGTTGTATTGATGAGGCTGTGTCTTTAATGGTGACATACTAATACCTATTAGAAAGGTAGGATTTAAAATATGCAAGCACATGGCCTCTTATACCATAGTGCTCAACTTTGTGGAGTAGGATGCCGTGGTCTATGTCAAATGCTTTTCTTAGGTCAATAAAAATTCCTAGCGGATATTCCTTATTTTCCAATGCTGTGTAAAGCAGGTCTAGCATTTTTATAATTGCATCATTAGTGCTTTTATTTTTCCTGAATCCAAATTGGCAGGGGTTGAGTATGTTTTGTGACGTTATAAATGAATATAGTCTCCTGTGCACGAGTTTCTCAAAGATTTTGGACAGCAATGGTAAGTTTGATATTGGCCTATAGTTGTTTACATCTGAGTGTTGGTACCACTATACTTTCATACATTCCCTTCTTTGCCTCCATAGATAATGTTTTTTGTCTCCACATATACCTCAATGCACTACTCACCTTTTTTCCTTCATCAATTCTATGGTTAACCTCATCCTTCATACATCCATCCGCTGACACATCAACTCCCAAATATCTGAAAACATTCACTTCTTCCATACTCCTCTCCAATTTGATATCCAGTTTTTCTTTATCTAAATCATTTGATAACCTCATCACCTTACTCTTTTCTATGTTCACTTTCAACTTTCTACCTTTACACACACTCCCAAACTCGTCCACTAACCTTTGCAACTTTTCTTTAGAATCTCCCATAAGCATAGTATCATCAGCAAAAAGTAACTGTGTCAATTCCCATTTTTGTATTTGATTCCCCATAATTTAATCCCACCCCTCTCTCCAACACCCTAGCATTTTCTTCTTGTACAACCTCACCTATAAATATATTAAACAACCATGGTGACATTACACATCCCTGTCTAAGACCCACCTTTACCAGGAAGTAGTCTCCCTCTCTTCTACACACTCTAACCTGAGCCTCTCTATCCTCATAAAAACTCTTTACAACATTTAGTAACTTACTACCTATTCCATATACGTACTTGCAACATCTGCCACATTGCTCCCCTATCTACTATCATATGCTTCTTCTAAATCCATAAATGCAATGAAAACTTCCCTACCTTTATCTAAATAATGTTCACACGTATGCTTCAATGTAAACAATCTACACATCCCCTACCCACTCTAAAACCTCCTTGCTCATCCGTAATCCTACATTCTGTCTTGCCTCTAATTCTTTCAATAATAACCCTACCATACACTTTTCCTGGTATACTCAGTAAACTTTTTTTTTTTTTCAACAAGTCGGCAGTCTCTCTTTTGTCCCCCTTCTCTTTATTTATAAAGGAATTATACATGCTCTCTGTTAATCCCTAGGTACCTTCCCTTCTTTCATACATTTATTAAACAAAAATACCTCTACTAGTGGCTACATCTCACCTCCTGGCCGTACATAAGGCTCTAACCTGTCACTTCAACTCCATTGTTTCAAACTATGGAACAATACTCTTCTCCAGACTGAGGGACTGACCACCTCGAAACTTCAAGGGTGATGGACTGATTACATCGTCTTCACGACTCTTCTATCAACTTTTCTGTACTCGACTGAAGAAGCCTACTGTGTAAGCGAAAAGTTTCGAAATAAATATATCTAGCTGTTGCATATGTGTCTTATCTAACAACATGTCGGTATTTTATACCATTTTAATATTCATTCAGAGCTCATGAAGGATGTAAAAAAACAGCAGCGAATAGGGAGCCATATAAATTAATTTTTGGTTATAATTTTTAATGTCCATATTAACAAATCGCAGTAAAGTGGAGCCCTCCTGTATCTCTCACACCTATTGGATGCTAAAAGGCCCAAACACTTCAAAACTTTCTTCATACCCTCCCTCTAAGCCTTCCTGTTAACTCCTGCCCCCTCCTTCCTTATAAGCTGAATGTATACACCCTCTGGGTCATCCTATCCTGTTCCATTCTCTAAATGCACAAATCACAACCATCCCTCCTCTGCCATATTATTAATTAATACCTTTCATAACTTAAAGCTGTCTTCAACTTTCTAAGCTCTAAATTCTTTGTGTAATCTTTACACCACACATTGCTCTTATACAAACATCTCCACTGCCTATAGCCACCTCCTCAGTGCAACATTTAAAACCCATACTTCATAACATAAAAGCCTTGATACCACTACTCAGATACAGTCTTCTTTTTACCTCAATAGATAAACTACTGTAGTGTAAGCATGCCTCTAGCAAGACACTGATGGAGTGAATGATGACTCAAGATTCTTTTTTGGGCCACCCTGCCATGGTGGGAAACAGCTAATGTGTAAAAATAAATAAAAATTAAAAATAAGCTACTCTCTCTCCACAGACACCTTGACACTCTACCCACCTTTATTGTATATTCTATGGTTCACATCTGTAAAAGATCCATATGCCAACATGTACACTCCCAAATATTTTTAATACATGCACCTCTGGCATACATGTTAAAAAAAAAAAAGTTCTCTTAAATGTTTTCATTCATGTTACATGGAATGTTGTACATGTAAAAAAATAACAGCTATTTTACTCACTTCTTTAATAGACTCCTCTTCTTTAGGTACCTTTATCTTCTCTCCTTGTTCTCTTAGAACTGCCAAAAAAGCTTCCTTGCCTGTATTCTCCATTATTTTTTCACGTCCCATCATACTTCGAGTTTCTGATAGTTTCTTTTGGACCATGCTTCTATGTTTTTCAATTGCGCTGAACAACTGCACTACACCCCTAGGGTAAAAAACAAATACATTTAATAAAACTTTCTATTGCAGGTGTTAAATTTTTTTTTTAATTTCTCTCTCCCATTAAACTCTAACCTCTGTACTTCTTGCTTACCCTAAGCTTGATCCAGTGCTAAAATTTCATGAGAAATTAGTGAAGGACTATGGATGCCAGAGTGCTAATATCTAAATACAGAGAAGTAATGATAACTTTTATATATACAGTGGACCCTCAGAGATCAGCCGTAATCCATTCCAGAAGGTCAACTTAAAACTGAAATGGCCGAAAACCAAAATAATATTTCCCATAAGAATTAATGTAAATGCAATTAATCCGTTCCAGACACCCAAAAATATTAACAAAAAATACATTTTTTTGAAGATTAATTATAGTTTTACATACAAAAAACAATGAGAATTAAATAAAATAAATACATGAACAATTAAATCACTATTATATGCCTTTATTGAAGACTCTTGTTGGCTTATGGAAGATAGGGAGGAGGAGAGAGGGAGTTGGAGTTATTGTTTGGAAGGGGAATCCCCCCTCCATAAGGACTTCAGGTAACAAGTCCCTCTCTGGAGTTACTTCCCTTTTTTGTCTTTTAATGCCACTAGGACCAGCTTGAGAGTCATTGGACCCCTGTTGCACAAAATAACTGTCCAGAGTGCTCTGTTTCTGGCATCTCTAAGATTTCCCTGAAGTGGGACAAGGTTTTGTCACTGAACATGTTGCAGATATGGCTTCTTTCATTCAGCTTGGTCAGGGTGATAATAATAATAATAATAATAATAATAATACTGCTGCTGCTGCTGCTGCTGCTGCTGCTGCTGCTGCTGCTGCTGCTGCTGCTGCTGCTGCTGCTGCTGCTGCTGCTGCTGCTGCTGCTGCTGCTGCTGCTGCTGCTGCTGCTGCTGCTGCTGCTGCTGCTGCTGCATGCTGCTGCTGCTGCTGCTGCTGTCTGCTGCTGGGCTGCTGCTGCTGCTGCTGCTGCTGCTGCTGTGCTGCTGCTTGCTGCTGCTGCTGCTGCTGCTGCTGCTGCTGCTGCTGCTGCTGCTGCTGCTGCTGCTGCTGCTGCTGTGCTGCTGCTGCTGCTGCTGCTGCTGCTGCTGCTGCTGCTGCTGCTGCTGCTGCTGTGCTGCTGCTGCTGCTGCTGGCTGTGCTGCTGCTGCTGCTGCTTGCTGCTGCTGCTGCTGCTGCTGCTGCTGCTGCTTGCTGCTGCTGCTGCTGCTGCTGCTGCTGCTGCTGCTGTGCTGCTGCTGCTGCTGCTGCTGCTGCTGCTGCTGCTGCTGCTGCTGCTGCTGCTGCTGCTGCTGCTGCTGCTGCTGCTGCTGCTGCTGCTGCTGCTGCTGCTGCTGCTGCTGCTGCTGCTGCTGCTGCTGCTGCTGCTGGCTGCTGTCTGCTGCTGCTGCTGCTGCTGCTGCTGCTGCTGCTGCTTGCTGCTGTGCTGCTGCTGCTGCTGCTGCTGCTGCTGCTGCTGCTGCTGCTGCTGCTGCTGCTGCTGCTGCTGCTGCTGCTGCTGCTGCTGCTGCTGCTGCTGCTGCGCTGCCTGCTGCTGCTGCTGCTGCTGCTGCTGCTGCTGCTGCTGCTGCTGCTGCTGCTGCTGCCTGCTGCTGCTGCTTGCTGCTGCTGCTGCTGCTGCTGCTGCTGCTGCTGCTGCTGCTGCTGCTGCTGCTGCTGCTGCTGCTTGCTGCTGCTGCTGCGCTGCTGCTGCTGCTGCTGCTGCTGCTGCTGCTGCTGCTGCTCTGCTGCTGCTGCTGCTGCTGCGCTGCTGCTGCTGCTGCTGCTGCTGCTGCTGCTGCTGCTGCTGCTGCGCTGCTGCTGCGCTGCTGCTGCTGCTGCTGCTGCTGCTGCTGCTGCTGCTGCTGCTGCTGCGCTGCTGCTGCTGCTGCTGCTGCTGCTGCTGCTGCTGCTGCTGCTGCTGTGCTGCTGCTGCTGCTGCTGCTGCTGCTGCTGCTGCTGCTGCTGCTGCTGCTGCTGCTCTGCTGCTGCTGGCTGCTGCTGCTGCTGCTGCTGCTGCTGCTGCTGCTGCTGCTGCTGCTGCTGCTGCTGCCTGCTGCTGCTGCTGCTCTGCTGCTGCTGCTGCTGCTGCTGCTGCTGCGCCTGCTGGCTGCTGCTGCTGCTGCTGCTGCTGCTGGCTGCTGCTGCTGCTGCTGGCTGCTGCTGCTGCTCTGCTGCTGCTCAGCTGCTACTCTGCTCCTGCTAGCTAGCTCTGCGCTGCTACCCACCCGCTACTACTACTTACACTACTCTACTACTACTACTACTACTACTACTACCCAATACTACTACACTACTCACTACTACCTACTACTCTATTCCTGCTATATTACCGCCTGCTCCACTTCTGGTTAGTGTGACTTTGTAAATGGTCCAAATCGGACCAAAATGTCGTCATAAGCTCCTCTCTTCTATGTGCAGGTTATTTGTGTATTATGAACCTCTCCACAATTCAAGATTAAGCAATATGTATAAATCTATACAGTGGTCTATGCATGAAATAAATGTAATTACCTTTGCAGCTACAAGAGCAGAGCTGAGCTCATAGTGTCACATCTTTGGTACAGAATTTAGCCAGTGCATATATCAGAGCAGGTGCAAGTATGTATATGTTACCAAAGACACAATTCAGCGAGTATATTTCAACAAGCAGTGCAGCGAGTACATTTCAACAAGCAGTGCAGCAAGTATATTTCAACAAGCAGTGCAGCGAGTATATTTCAACAAGTAGTGCAGCAAGTACATTTCTACAAGCATATCTACAGCATTTGTGCATGTGATATACGTGCACAGTAATGAGAAAGAACCTTGCAATCAACATATCAGTTATTCATACTTACTGTGTAGCCAGAATTTTTAGTTGTTTTTCTTTCGCCCAATCCTCTTTTAAGTTTGGCTTTACTAGAAACCTATTCTCCAGGATTTTTTTCTGAAAATACAAACAATTATCTCAAAGAAATCAGACTACCCATAGTACACACAATGTTATCTAAAGATGAAACACAATACAACAGAATATCCATCATACAACAAAGATTCTACAGTTTTTAAGTTAAATCTTGATGCCAAACTCAAGCACCAGTCTAATAAGGCAAACTTCTATAACATGCAGTGACCATGCAGAAACACTAAGTGGTCTTCATACAAAAACTACATTAAAATCTATGTGAAACATTAGCCTCAAGAACAGACTTTTGTGTAACTGTCAAGTATAAAACATTAAAAAGTACCCCACAAAGCATACTGTCTGGAGTACAGGAATTGTAAATTATTAAACTATAGAGCAAACATGAATGGGCAAGTGAGAGTGAATGCAAGGAATGAAATGTAAGAAAACAGCTTATTCCCTAACCTTCCTCCCTCCCACTCCCTCTTTCCAAATATGAGAGGGATAGGGATAATTTGAGAAAGAAGACCACAATGGAAATAGTCACTTTGGCATTTCTGGGTTATCCTAAGTGATTTACACTGTGTGTGATAATTGTACTTACGTATATACCTGTGCCTAAATAAACTTACATCTCCATTTATAATGTGTGTATGGGAAGATTGATTGCTTTACAGGAAGGCATTAGGATAAGTGAGGGGGACCTATTACACATGTAACACATACAGGTCCTTTGCAAAGTGAATGCATCTCAAAAGACTGAATGAAAGCTACAGTCATTTTATAACAGGACTGAGGAAGGGTTGTTGAGGTGGTCTGGGTATGTGGAGAGGATGGAGAGAATGACAAAGGTACAGTATACAGATCTGGGGTGGAAGGTAGGAGGGGTGGGGGTTATTCCAGGAACAGATCGAGGGAGGGAAGTAAAACACATCAAGTTTTAGGGGCTTATGTATCCAGTAGGTTTTCGTGATCGTGTTTGATAGGTTTTTAATGGAGGCACTGATGGAATACGAGCAGTGTGACATCCATGAAGCAATTCAGAAAAACTGGTCAACTGTACATTCTAGAGATGGAAAGGGCAGTGTCTGCACTCTGAAGGAAGGGGGAGGGTATGTTACAGTCAGAGGTTTATCTGAACTGTGAATGTCGGTACACTTCTGGCAAGATAGCAACTGAATTATTGCTGATGAATATTCCTTCTTTTGGTCACCCTTCCATTGTAATGGCCATTGAAAAAAAAAAAAAGATAACACTGAAAAATGACAGGATGTGAATTATGTTCACAAAAACTAACAATGGACCTCTGAAAATCTATGTGGTAAACTGAACAAATTACAGTATGCAATATGTTTCCTTATTTGCAATCTATCAAGAAAATGAGTGAAATGTACCTAAGATATTGTCATAAAATGCCTTCCTCTTAATACCCAAACCATGGTCCAAATAATTAAAACTCACCTGCAGCTCTCTTTCATGTTTTGACTCTCCAATCTTACTTTCCTTTTCCTCTTCCTTAATTTCTGACTCTTTCTTAATTTTTCCACTGTCATCTACTATCTCAAAACTGTCATCATCTGAGTCCTTAGCCTCTTCACTCACTCTCTTTGCTTTCTTTGCTTTTGATAATATCACATTGTCTGAATGTTTTGTTGCTAGGATCTTTGCCATTACATTTGCCAGACCTGTACTGCTACTCTCCTTGTTACTGTCCTCATCACTTTCAACTTCTGCTTCACTGTCATCACCATAATCATCAATGTCATCATCTACACTGACAGAATCCTCCTCAGAGTCCCCACTGGCATCCTCCATGGCTCTGGTAGTTTTTAAGGATTTCTTTGCTATGTTAGTGGCTTGGTCAGCTTCTGATCTGCTTTTCAGGTCATCATCTTCAATTTCCTCCGAGTTCATGTCACTTTCTGCCTCTTCTTGAATTTCAACCAAGCTACTGTCATCTGTGTGAGAATCATCCTCCATATCATTCATGTCATGTTCATCTTTTATTTCCTTAATACTGTTATCCTCCACTAATTCTTGCTTTACATCTTCTACATTGTCCTCTGGTTCCAGTCCAGTATCCATGCTAGACTCCACATCACTGACACTGTCTGACTCCTCTTCAGCAACCTGTGTTTTTTTCAAATGATTACCAGGTGAAATAGCCATAGCTGCATAACCTGAAAAGATACATTTTTTTAAATTAATGGCCATTAAACAATAAATAAAGACTAAGTATAAATATTTATTTGAACATTCAAATGACTGTGCACCCCACCCACGATACCACCACCCACCCTCTCTCTCCTGTAAACTTAATTGCAAACCTACAAGCCTCCTCTGGGATGACTTCACATCGCAAAATAGCAAGAATATCTATGCTATCTGGCTATTGTCCCAGTTTTTACTGCAGTGTTTGTGGGTATACCACAAGGGACAAAATTTTTCTTAAGAGGTAAGGAACCTACTCGTTCCAACTACTGCCACACAGATTGCATTCCAGAAGAAGAATTTTGTTGCAGCCAGGTTGAAAATTTCAGAAAATTAAAGAAACCATAACCTAGGTATATGGGATACAACCCTGGAGCACAGGAGGAAGGTTCAGAATTCTCCCTCGGGATTCTGTCAAAATCAAGACTCCCCTTTTGGCGTGTTGAAAATTTTGCAGCTAAGAAACCATCCAGGGAAGCCTTCATAGCTCCTCAAATCTTTAGATAACCTCCAACATTGTAAAAGGGGTCAGGCAACCTACTCAAGCTCTCTGGCAAGCTGCTCAGGATGGGACACATTGACAAAGACTGGAAGTCCCACACTGAGTTTAATCGGGGGAAAAAAAGGGTGGAATTTGTCATCGCTAAGGTCCCACAGACTACAGAGTTCAAAACACTACCTTTGGGGAATTCTAAAAATTTTCCTCTGACCCCCACGGGGGAACAAATCCTCTTCCCAACAACAAAGGAAACCCTTGGATTTTAATTTCCTCCCCCTGACATCTTGCTTCAGTCAATGCCACCCATTTTGACAGTGCACATACCATCTCTGATCCTACCCCTGTCACACACCTGCGACACTATTCCAAACGGGCAGCAGTGCTTCATCACAAGTTCTGATCAGGATTTTCTCCACCAGAGATTGGGCGTTAAAATCAGGGAACTATCACTTCCCCTGATCACCTACTGCGCCAAAAGGGTCGAACAGCGGGGACAATCTGTCAGAACTGGTAAGGACGGGGAGAGGATGGGGAAGAGGACGTGGAGAGAAGACATCACAGTTGTCTCACCCTCCATAAAACCAGTTCCAGCAGCAGAACCTGAGGAAAAATCTGCAAAACACAGGAGGTGCAAAAAATCATAGTCCACCCCCCCGGGCCCTGGGCTGTGCTCTCGCTGTCACCAAAAGGGGGCCACACAGCCAGCAATCCCGGAAAAATATCAGGGTAATTACTGCTACAAGAAAGGACACAGGAGGCCCATGTCGGAAGAAAAAAGGGAATTTGACAGACAGGACCACCTTTTTTAGATACCTTTTTCTAAAAACAAACCGCAGGTCTCTGAATTGGGAACCTCTCCACGTCCCCATTCAGCACTCCTATCCAGCCCAGCAGGGGGTATTGTCCCTTATAAAAACCACAGCCTCACCCTGCAGCTGCCTCATACCCTACCTCTCTCAAGGGGGCACCTTACATGCCCTACACACCCACCCCCCAAAGCTGACCAAATATCATGGGGAGCCATCTATCAGCATCCTTGGGCCAACTTTAAAGGTTTCTTTACAAATTTTGGAAGCTACACACAGTTTTGTGAAACTCGATTCCCCGACATGATAGCTTTGGAAACATTTTTGGGAGGGCGGGACTCCAAAATTTGCAAAAAATTGCTGGCTAACCCCTCTGGAGAAAAGACGGAAAGGGTCAAAAAGGAGGTGTTGCTGTGTTTTTCCCCTAAAAGTGTTCACCCCCAGCACATTGATTTGCCCCCCCCCCTACCATCTTGAAATATGTTCTTCAAAGCTCTGCATAAACACAAACCCTCTGTACTCATGTGTAATGTACAGACCTCGGGGAAAAATGCAGATCCATCAACTTCCTAATGGAAAATATTTACTCCCTTTTGCTAAACAAAACTGTCAATATACAAATTGTTGGTACCTCAACACACTATAAAAGAGGACTTTTAGCCTTCTTCAGTTTTGACATGAAAAACTTTTTTTGATTTCCCTACTCAATCTCTGGGTCCTCCCCTTACCCATACGAGTGATCTGGCAGAAGGCTAGTCACTTGTCAAACCCCCGGCTACTTGGACGTCTGACCCCCAAAGGGTTTTTTTATGACTTAAGATCCCCAAAAGAACGAGGGGGAGGAGTCCACACACACACCCGGGATGGGAAAGAGGCAATTTGGGCCCCCCTTCACTCTGGCTCGCCACCACCCATTGGAAGCTTCTCCAAGGGGGTGTTGACAACCAAATGAAAACCTTCACTGAACACATCCTTAACTTTAAAAAAAAAACACATCCCCACCGGCAATTGTGACAACCTGGCACCTTGGTTTTGGGTTTCGTTGTAGAGAGGCTGCTACTGCTAAGTACAAAGCATGGAAAGGTTAAACACATCCTACCACCTTAACAGGAACTTGCAAAAGGCAAACCTGTAGACATAGGGTGACGTTCAAAAGTGGGGCCCTTTCTAAATGGGGGTGGACACTAAAAGAAAGCTAGCTCAGGGAGGGTAGGCTCCAAAATGGTGTCCCTGGTCAAAGGGCAGACAAGGTTACCTGCCTTGAACTATTCCACCTCTAAATCACGGAGGGACCCCCTCTATAGTGTCAAGAAAAGGCGGACCTCTTTGCTGAACCTTTTTCTACCAAAAAAAGCAAGTTCCTGATCCCCAAGGGACCCTCCTTTGGGTAGCTGCAAGAACTGTGTCAAAAAAGTCAGTGGTACAAAAGGCAGGAGGAGGGGCATTTCCTTCTTTTAAAACGCTTTACCAAGAAAAGGTTGGGCCCAGACAAGATGAGCCCCCAATTGCTGAGAAGATTTAAAAACCACTGCCACCCCTAACCGCATCTTTCAGCACTGCCTTTACAGTGGGAAATGGCCCTCCTATGGAAAGAACAAAAGTATCCCGTTCCAAAAAAAAGACCAAAGCAGAAATCAGCAACAAAAGACCAGTGTCACTCCGTCAACCGAAAATCCTTGAGCAATAATTCAAGACAAAGCAGAGTTTTTTGACTATCACTCACTACTTTGGATCCAATAGGCTTTTAGGAAAGGGTTCTCTGCTGCTGATCTGTTTTAAACCCCTCCCTAATGCAACCCGTCACTGGTGAATCCCAAAATCAGCTGTGTGGTAGCACTGGACATTGCTGGGTTTCAACCAATGTGGCACCCGGGGTCTTAGCAAAACTCAAGCACTGGGGAATTTCAGGCTCAAGCTATGTCTCCAGTGATTACCTTTTAGGGGAGATCCTAATTAGTTTCAATGGAACGGAATCAGCAAGACATCCTATTGGGGCAAGTGTTCCCCAAGGGGCGTTCTGGGACCATTGTTATGGAATTTCTACTTCAACGACCTTCTTATTTATCCCCAAAACACATGCTAAAGCAAAGACTGTAAAATGACATTCACTTATCCAAGGAAAAATGCAGATCTCTTTAAACTACATCAATCACCAGCGAGAGATATCAGCTTGGGGAAATAGATGGCAAGTAACATTTGCACCCGAGAAAACGCAAGTGATGATCGTCTCTAGGCACCAAGATGGAAAATGCGGGTGCAGTAGTAAGGATGAATGGGAGGGTGTTGGCACCTGGGAAGAAGTTGATATCCTTGGGGTGAAATTTGACTCCAAACTAACTTTGAAGAACCATGTTGTAAATCTTGCAAACAAGGCTCCCGGGAAAGCTTACAGAAACTTCGCCGTATCTCGCATCTACTTGACGTAGGGGTTGCAAGATTCTGTACGAGGCACAAGTACGCTCGCACCTTGAGTATGCTCCACTTTCTTGGTTTGCCTGCCCCCCCCCCCTCTCATCTGCGATTGCTTGACAGAGAAAGAGAACAGAGCAAGACGTCTCCTCTCTCGCCTGGACCCATCCTGGATAGATCTGTCATTTCAGCAAGCCTTCAACATAGAAGGGATGTGGGTGGCCTTACTGTTATGTACAAGGCCAATATTGTCAAAGTCCCCACACTTGGATCCACTTCGAGGACGCAATGAAACAAGCTTTTATGCCACAAGAGGGCAGAAAGCAGCAACTTCACTCTGGCTGTACCCTTCTCCAGAACTTCACTCCATCTGAGATCCTATATACCCAGGATGACTCGAGTATGGAACACATTCGTACAGCATAATGATGTCAACGAGATAAAGTCAGTTGATCAAATGAAAATGCTGGCCCACAGATGGCTCCAACTTCATCCTGTTCCCTACTTGTATGTCTCATAACAATAAAAATGCTTTCAAATGAGCTGATGTAGGTAACAGCTCTTAGCTTGCCAATAAAGTTAGGAATCCTTAACCTGTAAATAACTTGTCAATACAGCTAGGGATCCTTAACCTTGTCAAACCCTGTGTAAAAAAAAAAAAAAAAAAAAATGAAGAAATTAATAGTTAAAGTTAATAATTACCATGACACCTATTTTCTATAGTGCTGCTCTTGGTCAGCAGAACTGGAAAGGCAAATAATTAGGGAAAATGTTATTAAGGTGTACAAATAGAAGACTGGAATAGAGACTGACAATGTACTCGGCTGACACACTTAACTGTCTATGGTTCAAACCCCAGCACACATGGAAATGTTGGGCAAGTTTCCTTACATTTGTTGTCCGTTCACCTAGCGGTAATTAGGTACCAGAGCATTAGTCGACTTTTCCGAGTCGCATCTTGGAGGACAAGATTAAAGGACCCAATGATGCACTGATTTTCTTGGGTTATCCTGGGTGGCTAACTCTCCAGATTAAAAATCCAAACAAAATCTTAATTTATCTCTTAAATACAAGACTTTCAGCAACGAGTTCAAGTTGGAAAAAATTTAGATTTAGAAAGGATATACGAAAGCACTAGTTTGGTAATACTCGTGGGTGAGTGGAACTCCCGAGCAGCATCACTGGTGAAAACCTCGAGCAGCTTTAAAAATGGGTGTACATGAGTGGGTGTGAGTTGGACCTGCCTAGCATGGAC